AAGAAGAACAACAAAGAAATCCATTTTAAATCCTCAATTTGGCGGAATTATTACACACGTGCATCGGTGAAAAGGTCAAGAACATAACCGTGCCCATTTATACATAGGTAACAATCAAATGTAATCATTTTATGTAAATAAGAGTAAAAGAGGGGTTTTTCATTGCCAAACGTTTTAAACGTATATGTATATTTACAAAAATGCGTAGATCTCTCAACTAATTAATAAAATATTTCATAAATTGAAGCTCTCCTCACTTAACACAAGCGATAGAAATCAGAAGAAAATGTGCCCTAAGCCTTCAAGCAACATATTTTAGCAGCACATGTCAACGTAATGATCGAGTGCGAACTGATTCTAAGTGCATGCTGGGAACTACCCCGCTGGAGAGTTTGATGTCCAAAGGTAAAACTAATGTTGCTAAAACAGCACATACTTTCTTGCATTATTTGTGACGGCCACACAATATTATACTACCACATAAATACCTGTACCTGCAAAAATTGTTTCCAACCAGCATTTTTTTTCTACGCGCCAAAATTCCAACTTAATCAATGGTGGATCGTGCTTAAGACACGCTTACACTACCCGCTGAAAATCGAAAAACATTTTATAATTTGTTAGGAATACACATTTTTGTTTTAATGTCATTCAATATTCAAGATATTCCAGCGACATCGATGTATATAATGTCATTTTGAACCAAAGAGCGCCCATTGACCGCCCTCTCGCGCATCGCGTCCTCTCCTAGGCCTTGCACCATGTCACGCTCTTGGCTCGTATTGCTGCATTTACTCTTTGGCTCTATGCCTCAGCACAGGGCTCAATAGGGCCTTTGGTTGCGCAACCAGTGGGTGAGGGCCTTGTCACCGAGCGTAGCGCGGCGTTCGAGGGGAATACCCATTTTCTGTTATCGTCTGACACTAGCTGTGACTTCATTTTATGAATTTCGCAAGTTACTGAAAGTTCTCGAGTAGAGTCAATTATTGACGGTATTGAATGCATTATTAATGATGTTTGGGAAATTTGTTTTCATTTGGTATTAGGTTTGTTGATTCAAAATTTATATTTGACGACTTCTTTGTGTAAAGTTGGCAGTTCTGGAAGGAAGTCCCTTAGTGTCTCTCACAGTTAATGTTTCCAGCTGCAATCTGAGAGCACTGTTGTGAATACGAGTGTGTGGAAGGATCTTTCATTACTACAATATATACCATGGTAGATAACTTTTCAAAATAAAATAAATTTATTCGTGTAAATATGTGTCTAAATGCCTCGTGGCAGGCGTGCACGCTTTCCACTACGCGACCCTCTTCGATTCCCAGTCGAGCCAAGACTAATTCCAATTTCCAAATACTTCGGAGTCAACGCGCGGGGAATGTTATCGCTATACCACCACTCGCAGGGCTACATGCCGCTTCCTCGACGCTAAAGGGGGAAGTGGTTCCTCGCGTTATTTCTAACTTACACAATTTTTTTTCGAAAATAACGAGAGTTCAATGAAAATGAGTTCTGCGCCATTTTTATGCGCCCTATATTTCAACCGAAGAAAAATAATTGGTGCCTTCCATGAAAAAAAAAATAGCAATTGCATTAATTTCAAGCAGAAATCATCGGAAAAAAATGTTCAGAGCCTATTTACAGACCTAATGTTTTAGAATAGATTTCAATTAATAAAAATATCTCTCATCAATTTTCTTCTACATTTATTGTTGAGTTGAAATATATGCAATTTTTAAACAATAATTTTCCACAAAACTGCTCCAAAAAATTTTCCTTATATCCTAAAAAAAAAACAACCTTCCAACATAATTTATTTTTTTCATCTTTTTTGATTGCGCGAATCAAAGAAACCTTTTCGCCAACGCAGAAGTTTTTCTTCTGCTACGCGCGTTCACAGTTCAATAGTAATTTCAACTGTAGTGCGAAAGTGTGATTAGTACTTCTGTCTAACCTTATAATAATGCATTTCCTTCCAGCTCTCCAGTTGCCGTTTTCTGAGAGCCTTCCCTCTCCGCGCTCACCCGCTCAGCCGCCTTCGCCCTCTCAAGCGTAAGAGAGCAATGGCAAACAATTAAAGATACGATGTATGTGTGTACTTGGCTTTTAGGGTAGCATTAATCCTACTTTTCTCAACTAGCGTTGTTCCCGCCTCAGCCCTGCTTTTATTATGCTCTCTTGTACCTGAGGGGGACATGTGTAGAGCATTACGTACTCCCATTATTGTACCTTGCGTACTTTGTCTGAGCTCTTGGACATCTTTCGTCGCAAAGTTATAGAAACTGAGACGATTTGTATAACAAAGCATCAGCTTTTTTTTACCCCGGCCAACAATCGAACCCACGACCGCCCTCACAGAAAGCTAGCACGCTGTTTACAATCCATTTGAGGGGCTAAGATACGATAAGAACATATTTTTTTCTTTGCAAATGTATTGTTTGGTTACAAAGGATGACCATTTCATTATAGAGAGAGTTTTAATGGTCGGGTAATAACGTAAACCATTGTCAATCAATATTTACTTTTTTTGTTATAAAGGAGTTTATTATAAAGAGTTAGCACTGTATTTCAATATTATTTTAGCGCCCTATAGTTTGGTCACGTTTACGGTTTCTTTAAGACATCAGTCCCTGAGTAAGCTTTCATCACGCTGCTTGCATGTCAATCGAGAAGCGTTCGCCGTCAGATTCTGTGGACACCCCTGTGGTGGTCCGGACGCTCGTTGGCGCGGAGTGGAAGATTGCGGCTTGTTGGGCACGTGGCACGTCCGGTGCGCGCGCCCTGACAGCACGTGACCGCACGACCCAGCGCGCGTGGCCGCGGTCCGCGACCACTACTACTTCGCTCAGGGCAAGAGACAAATTGCACGGGCGATAAGAGAGGGAGTGCAGGGCCTGAGTGGAAAAACAGCGTAACTGTATTTGAAGGTATTAGGGCAGTGTTATTCAAACTGTGAGGCGTGCGCCTCCCGGAGGCGCGAAAGTTTCAAAGGGGATGCGTGATAACAAAGAGTGGCGTTTGAGGCAGCGTAACGCTGCGTTACATAGGGGTAGGGGGTATTAGTTTAGTGCTACGTCACGTTGATATTTATTTATTTTTATACTTTCACCATTTGCTAAAATAACTGCTTTTATTGAATCTCATACTAATCGTTAAGATATTAACGAACTAAATTAAAAAATATAAATAAATTTAAGAAATTATGATTCAATTGTTACAATAAACGGAAATATATTTTCTTCGCTGGTATATTGATTGAATCTGCTATATTACAAAGAAAATATTCAAAACTGATCTGTAGTATATTGTGGACTTCAATAAAATCGGCATAATAGTCTCATCTATGCTTCATCCGACCACGACGACGTGTACACGGCTTGTCAGAAATTGTCTCGCCTATGCATCCATTCTTCATTCATTGTCAGCATCATCAACTAGTTCTAACTTTAATTATCATAAATTGTAATATATAATACCAATGATTTTTACTCATATTTTACTTGCTGTAAATGGGGGGGGGGCGGGGTCTGGTCACAAGCGTTACGTAATTATTGATGGGGGTTAAGCGCGCATTACAGGCGGAGAGGAGGTATTCAAAATACTCCAAATTTACACTACGTAATTTATGTCTTAACATTTGCCTACGTAATTATTGTCCCTTATTAAATTAATTAAATAAATGTAAGGTGTTACATTAATGTAATCTGATATTATATTTATTATAGAGATGTACCACTTGATTTATCTCAGAACAGCTTCTGTTTCTGTAAAGACTCTGACCGGGAGGACCTAAAATTCGTGTTTTCGTTCTAGGCGACGGATATCCGGCACTAGCTTTACAGCGAGATCAAATCCATCCGCTACCTAGGGAATTCTAGCAGCTGCTGCTCTAATCGATATTTTTCCGTGGTTTCTCCGATCAACTCCCGGCGAATGACAGAGCACTATCCTAGCTAGCGCGCCACGGTGCTACCTTTCCTTCATCTCACTTGCCCTACGCTCACCCCCTACTTACGCACTCCTGCACATTGCACTACCACTCATGACGTCAGACCTGACAGGAACATAGCTTGTCCTAGATGGGACGGTGCACCGAGGAGGAAATTCGCCTCAAGCCGAGATATAGCAAGGCGCTAGATCTCACCATCCAACAAGGGAGGAAATCCACCATCTCCCGCAATAAAACATTCACTACATTAACGTGACTTATTACTAGCGTTCGGACTTTTGTAAATACATATTTTTTCTCCTTTGATCTTGAGCGACGAAAGTAAAGTGTAAATTCAAGAAGCACCCCATGAGTTTCATATACCACACTGCATATCATCTAAAAATAAATATTTTAAGTTGCGTAAAAATAAATATTTTCGGCGAAACAAATATTATAACACGTTTCACTTTTAAATGAATAAATGAATACTTTCAGTATTTTCAAGTTGAACACATAATAGTGACAGATGAGCCACTTTGTAATGCAGTGGTTGGTCACACCTCACATGTCCCTGCGGGACTTCCATGATTCAGTGGGGTGATTCTGATCTGTCAAAACGTCTCAGGTCCATTTATAACACTGCTGTCGATGCAGGCAATGGAACTCCCAGCAATAACATTCTCAAAACACGAACCGCTCCCAAACCTCCTCTTATTGCACAGACGAAATACGCAGAGTGATAAAGAGGACATCGTAACGTTTTACATCCAGACTTCTCTCGATCTTTGTTACAGTCCTTTATGTGAATAATACATATTTTTGTAGATTTAACACGTCTTACAATTTTTAAGGATATAAAAATAAAAATTTTCTGCTTTTTTAGCACCTAGAAGTTCGAGCCCTACTTATGACCACAGCAGTTCACGTGCCAGGAAACATCACTCAGAATATAGATATAAAAACTTAATATTTGTCGATTATATATATATATATATATATATATATATATATATATATATATATATATATATTATATATATTTATATATATATTACTCTTTTTTAAATTATGAATTACATTACAATTTGGTCTCTACGTGTTTCACGTTTTTTTAAAACCTGTTTCTCAATTATTTTTAGGATTCAATTTCAATTTTCAGAAAACAAAGCACCACTGCTTAGTCTTCCATAAAAAAATATTTTTGAAGGACTACTTATGGTACGGGAGTGATCTACTTATTGACGGACCTCTTTTCTGGAGGTGTAGTTAAAGCTGGTGTAAATCCAGTTTGGATATTGTGTGTGTCCGTACCCTTTCTGCTCCATTTTATACACATATTGTAGTTTTCAAAACACGTGTACTGCGTTATGCTTAATGTCAATTATGTGTGTTGTTTGCACGGGGGAGGGGATTCTAAGAAATTTATTGCGGATGTGTGAAATGCTGGATGGTATGAAGTCGTAGTTATGCTACATTATTTCATCTACTTCGTTTAATTTTATTACCAGGGCTGAAGCACACAAATATAAATTATCATGTTAACTCCAAATCGCTAATCGCATATTTTGTATTTTGTCACCTTCTTGTGCTTAAGAATAATTTACAGAGAAAAAATCTCAGCTCACATAACCGATTTTATTACAAGCTTTTGAGAAGAAACAATTTAGCATGGGCGAGCGATATTTATTTTGTTCTTTCTTCTACTAAGTACAGATCTTTTAATGTTAAAAATGCATACATTAATAGTTAGCTCACATTACGACCTTTCAATTAGGAATTTGTTTTTTTAGTCTGACCCGTCTTATTGTCAAAAGCAGCAGCCATGTCGTTTGTGGTATTCTTCGTACGGATTCTGGGTATTTGGAAGTACGTTAACTTCTGACTCCCTCTTCATAACGCAGTGTTCTTAATGTACATGCAAAGCGGGTGACATTACAGCGGTCATTAATATTTTATCTCCTGATTGTGAGTAATAGGACAATTACCCCTGCTGAAACCTGAGCAGTAATGAACGTAGCCGACAGTAATTAATCCTAGCTGTCTCTCGCTCCATTTAAGAAAACCAGGCCATATCCATGGAACTCTTTCTCTGCGGCCACATCTCGCTTTGCGCAATGTCTGAACGCGGTCAGGGTCAGATGATGGGCACGGCAAATAATTTAAGTCATGAAGCGTGATTAAATTTGTATAAAGTTCTGTTATCTTCCCTTTCGATGTGCCAAAGAATGTTTCGATTAATCAATGTGATTAGAATGGTAATATTCAACCAGCACAAGTTTGACATTTATCAACCAGTTTTGTGAAATGCATCAAAAGAAAGCAAAAGGTAGCACGTAGTCGTAGCTGCCTACTTTGTATCAAGACGGTAAACTTAGAGAATTTATGTCAATCTTACAGCAACATACTTGTCTGAGTGGATAACTAATTAGCCATTACTGATTTATCACTTCAACTTGTCTCTTCATCATCCAAAATTGTTTCCGAACGTTATTAATAATTGATGAATTGGAAGATGATGTAGTGAAAGAAGATAATTAAAAAATACTTCTCTTGAACAAAAAGTTCTATAAAACGCTTCTGCGTCTACGTTTTAAAATATTTTATTGGTTATAAAATATACAAAACACTTCACATTTTTCATATCTTACTTTTAATTTTAAATTATTTAATTTTATCTGTTTCCTGAGTGATGTTCATGAGGTATATTCATAATATCAAACATTCTTTGAACTTAATGCTATTTTGCGTTTAATTTTGTGATACATGAAAAGTTTAGAACACAGAATTGATGAAAATGTAACATGAACATTCTACCCAAAAACGTAGACTATGGTTCAGCGGGAGAGCTTTGAAGAAACATCGTGAAACACTGTAAAAAAAAAAGGTGTTAACAAGGGTTGTCGTAGTTGGAAAATTCCGTGGGTCCAGATTCCAGAGTCCAGAGTGCGCACTACTCGATGGCAGGCAGCGAGTAGCAGACGCACTTGCCCAGCAGGCACTTGGAGTCCTTGTAGCCGTCGAGGCGGCACTTGGTGGCGCAGGCGGCGTCGTTCAGCCACTCCCAGCCCGTGGCGTCACATGCGTCGCGCCGCACCCGCAGGCTGCGACCTGCGCACGAGCACATCGTCACCAACCATCTTAGGACCACTCTCAATCTATATGCTTAAACCACTAAAGGATTTCGTTTCCGTTTTCCACTTTTTTTTAATTTTAGCCAATTTTAATTTTTGATTTCATAAATGATCATTTTTTGGATCAATGACAAGACAAATTTAAATAATGAACACAAAAATATTATATTCACATTATTTATTCTTATATCATTGATTTATTTAGACAATTTTATTACATTGTCATATTCAGGCAATAAAAATAGTGTAATTATACAAATTAAAACTTTCGTATTCTAATAAACATACTCTATCCAAAAGAAAATTTCTCTTTAATGTCACCACCCCAAAATAAAGCTGATCTAGACATAAAAATGTCCCATGAGTAGTGTTGAAGGCTGCGTCTAAAACTGTCGAAACGTATCAACTAAATAAAAATAAATAATGTGAACACCATGTTTTTATATGTTGATTATTTATATTTTTCATTGAGCCATAAAAAGAGATCATGTTTACATATGTAATTAAGGGTTTCGTTTAGAAAGAAATTTGAGCTTTTCACTCAACCAAATTTCGCGATTTTCCTTTAAATGGAAGGTAGTGAGTCTCCTTTGTTATGACTTGCTGTAATTAACTGGTTATATAGTAAAAAGTTGAAATTTTAATAATATATTAGTAAATGAATAGAAATATCTTGAGTGAATCTTAGTGCAGATGGATCTGACGTCAGTAACATTATTAAAACATGATTACATAACTTTCTCTTGTTACGACGAACCTTCGTAAGAGCGAGAAAGTAAAATAAAGCCAAAGAGGAGTAATTGCTACCAAAATTCATATTTTTGGGAACAAGAATACTAGCAGGAAACCAAGAGAAAAATATATACGACCATGGTGATGAGTTGTGTTACGTATGTGTCAAAAAATTAAAGTAAAAAAATATTGCAATGAACTCTTGCAATAGAAATGAATTTTTGGAAGCGATGCCCTGTTTGATACAATATCTACTGCAGAGATGAGGCAGATAATGCAGATAGAGACGTTATCGAGAATATAGTCTTTGAGTGGGTCCCTTTCTAAAGAAGAAAATGAAGGTCGAAGAAATCTTGGAAGGCCGTCATCAATCCCGCCAATGAAAAATGAAAGAAGATGCGTGGTGGAGAAAAAAGGATGTGGCGAGGTGTAGAGTGCGAGAAACGGCCAAGAGAACTGTAACCACTCGCTTAATTATAATAATAATAATAATAATAATAATAATAAATATAATGGAATGAATGCTTCCCTGCTGTTATTTGTACATTATAGTTGGTTTTTTTTTGCGTGTTGCAATAGCTATAAGGAATTCCTTGCATTAGGAGGTTATAGTACGATAGCGAGTTTGTTTTCAAATGGAAAGATTAGTGCATATAAACACAATGGACATGTGCTCTTGTATAAAAACGTTCAGTCAATATATGAATAATTGTTTTGAATTACGTTTTTAAGTTTAGCAAGATATCGTGGCTTAGTCCACTACAATGAAGTGTACAAATCTTTAAAAATAAATAACATTTCAATTACATCGTCAGAAACGTGTTTAACTCTATATTCACAACGAATAGTGATTGCATTCCAGAATTTATAAAACTTCATTTCACTAATTTTGAAGAGACATTACTGAACGACATAAAAAAACATTTTTAGGGTTCCCGATTATCCGTAGAGAGCGTAAGAAGTACTTTTGTGCAGCCCTTCCACTCGTGCGATGTAATGGTAAGGGTTCAGTTAAACTTAAGGTGCATTCACAATTAAACGTAAATGCATAAGCTTGGTGACTGTGAATGGAGTAATTCACATCTGTGAACGGGAGCACAAATGTAAGAGGAAACCGTGAAATTTCGCAAGCTGCAAACTTTCACGTTTCTTCTTCTTTGGTCCTATCTTCCATATACGGAAGTTAGGTGACCCATAACGGGTTTTCTTGGGATAAATTATTCATGGTGGTTTCCCGTTGCCTTCCCTGATATGATGATGATGATGATGATGATAGGGGGTGAAGGACGAACACAATACAACCATGCCCGAGGCGAGACTCAAACCCGCGATCTTTCGGGACAAGATCGCTACGGCACTACTGCCTTAGCGATCTCGGCCACCGGATCAGCACCCTTTCAAGTTTACGTTTACGTTATTTCAGAACAACAGACTATAGTCTGTTGAAGCAATATCTAAAGAACATCCAACGTTTTCGTTAGCCAGAAGCCAATGAAGTTAGTTCACATTCAAGTATAAACGTAACGTAATCGTAAAAGCATGGTGGTTGTGAACGTAGTCATACACACCGGTGGAAGTTAACGTAAACATAAAAGCGACTCCACGTATTCAGTTTTCGGCGAGTAGCGAGCGACCGCTCGCCGAATCGAGTGGTGTGGATGGGCTGCTTGCTATTTGCCGAGAGACGTACATTCGGTCCTCGGCCTACCCACGGCATGCCTGTCGTTTGTTCATATCAAAGGAAACGAACATTCGCCGAGCACATCAGCTGATCGGGATTGAGAGAGCAGTCGCTCACTACTCGGCGAATGACGAATGTGAGCAACCGCTTTAAGATGTAACCGTGAAAGTTTGCTTGCTGCAAACTCTCACGATCACCCTAACATTGTTCCAGAACCACAGACTATCATGTAAAGCAGCAACATCCAAAGACTGTCTAGCGTTTTACTTAGGCAGAAGGCAAGGGAATTAATGAAGGCTCATTCACAATAAAACTTACGTACAATATACGCAAAAGCTTGATGCCATGCTTTTCAAAGGACTTGTCAACCGCCAAAGTTCGCAAGCTACAAGCTTTTGTTTAAGTTAAAGTGATATGAGAACAATGCTGTCGTGAACCGCAGTCAGTTCTAATTAACTTACAGTGTTTTCGTTAGACAGAAGCGGTTGATGATTCTAAGAGCGTAAATTATCATGATCACGTCACAGCTCATGAAACATTCCACAGAATCATTTGCTTACAACATGCAAAATAATTATCTACCAAACGCAATCGTGTCTATTTGTCTTAACGCCCTACCACTCTACTTACACTTTTTGGCCCAAGAATTATATCATCGATATCGATATTACATTTAATATTATGTATTGTTCCCATTTACGTCCACAATCATTGCGAAAGGCCCTCAAAGGTACAATTGGACATCACTGCTTTTAAAAGCTCAGCAGAATCATCGAGCCAATTGGGTAGGGAAACATTCATTCTAACTTGATCGCATTCATTCGATTTACTGTCGTACGATTATTTGCACAATTCCTACGTCGAGAATTTTTATTCCATACATTAGCATAATATATCGGTGAGTATCTGTCTTTACGTTAATTTTCATGTTAAAATTAGATGATTATATCATTAGGTCCACGTCAAACTTTTGATTTGAATTAACAATTTCTAATTTACAGGAAGCAACACCGTTCCATTCAAGATCACAAGCACGAACACGAGCAAATCCAAAGATGATTTGAAGTCGGGACAATTTCAATTTGGACCACTTTCCTCGAATAAACAGTTTTAGAACAATTTTACACGTTAGTTTAAAATAAAAAAATGTATAATCACGATGGAAATTCTTTTGGAAGTGATTCTATGAGATAACTGTCTTGAATAGAATTACAAAAGTTTGGTTCACAAAACAAATAATATTTCATCACTCCCAATCCTAGATACATGAACCAGGAATGGTAATGTATTTTTAATAGACGTTCGAAATGGCGCAGAAAACTGATATCCCTTTAAACGTTTAGGTAGAGAAAGCCTTCTTCAAGCTTCAGTCAACTTTGACTGAAGTAGCAGATGTGCATGGTAGAGGTGAGGATGGAGCACAGAGATTAGGCAACCCACCGGGCACGTGTGGGAAGTTCCCAAGTTTGTATGTGCTACGCGTCAGTACTATAATCACGTAAGGAATTCAGAAATTTGCGAAATGTACTGCGGGGCGCCTCATGTAATTTCATCGAGCCATCAATGCCAAAAGTGATTTCAAATACTAAAATGTATTAGTGTACATTGACTTTGAACAAATTAATTAGATACAAAAATCAAGCCCTGCATTACACTCTGTTCATAATCATCAGTGTATAACTTGTCACAGAGAAAGCATTTTGTAAACATGTCGTGATTAATGCTTCTGAGTATGGCAATGACTACTTTAGAAAATTAAGAAATGTATGTCAAACGATCGAGACTATTTTCATTACTTTTGTAAGAATTTTCCGTAAATCTACGTACTAAATACGTATAAGCATGACATTTCCTTTGAAATCATTATACAATTATATTAATTTAAACTAAAAATATCATCTCCGAGTTTTGAAGAAGCTGATTTCACGTTGAAAAACTTCTGCATTCATAGCGCAAAAAACTACTCGTATATAAAATGAACGAGTTATTTGATGACATTGATGGTTGTCTGTTCGTTCTTACAAGTCAGGAGTTCACGAACTAATGCTGTCCCCTAATCATGTTTATTTGCTCTTGACCTACTTCCAAGTATTCTGCTACGTGACTACTGTGAAAAGTTGGTCAACAAACCACGGTTTTATCTAAGTTAAAGATATTTCTAGACTTCTCTCTCCAAGTACAGAAACAAAATACGGGGGTATCTGATAGGAAACTTTGAAATGAAATGAATAGACTTTATTAACTAGGAGAGTCTTGAAACCAACTAGTTTAATTGAGGAATATTTAATCGTCATTATTATACCAAAACAAACTTCCAAAGTATGTTAAATGTTCTTTCATTATTGAAAGAAAATAATTTTAGGTAAAATAACATATATCATACACGAACAAAAGACAATGTGAAAAAGAAGAATTGGTAGAAAGTGAGCCGAAAATACTCCGCTTAAAGGAACATTTTAGTGCGGAAAATAAATGTACTTCAAGTGTTTTGGATCCACGTTCATAAAAAACCCTCGTTTATAAAAAAATATTTTTTGTACTGTAACTTACTTTCCACCGTTCAAATATTCCATTTATCAGTAGTCGATCAGACATATTTTATATGTCCCTCCCAATCATACATTGTCAGAGGCGTATCTACGGAATCGCAGACAATGCATTTACCATGGGCGCCACTCACAAGGGGCGCTATTTAAAGTATACCCGCAAAACAAATAACGACCCTAATTCGAAGTAGCCTGACAGGGGCGCAAATTCTATGCTTTCTGAATATCTAGATACGTCTCCGGCGTTAGTAGATTGCCTCAAGTACAATTTTTAACAGACCTATTGGGACACCGTCAGACACTTTATTTGTAATAAAAGGAAAGAAGAAACAAAGTCAGATATTGAATGAACAAACAAATGTATAAAATAAAGTACAAACTAATCATTTATTAGACCAACGGACACTCTCATAAATGAACGAACAAACGAATCAATGCAAAATGGTTCCTGATAATTAAACTACAAAGGAATGAAAGACCGGAGAAATACAATTCTATGAATACGTGCTCTAGGCAATACATTATGTGCTTTTACATTAATATCCCCCATACTCCGTATCATTCAACCGGAATTCGAGCCGCGACAAGGAATGTGCCCGACAAGGAAAGTGTTCGCAGGTGTTCAATACTAACCCTCGCCAGCAGACTCGGCATCACCAACAGCCGCGGCGTGGGCGGTCACGGCCAGGAGAACCAGCGCCGCAACGACGACGGGGCGGTTGAACACCATGGTGACAGCGGCGGCGAAGGGCGAGCGAGATGGAGCTGCAACAACAACGGTTCTCGGAGCTTCCCGTCGCTATGAGCGCATCGTCTTGGCGCGAGCTCTTAAATACGAAGCGCCAAGCAGTGGGCCGAGGCGGGCCGCACGGCGCACAAAAACGGCACCATCTTTAGTCATCGTCAAGGTCGGGAGTTGGCCTATATCGAGCCTACCCACGAGCCGGATTCAGGGCAGTGATCTAGAAAATACTCGGGGCGTCGCCGGGACGAACCACGACGTGGCAGAACTGAGGTTGAAGACATGTGGTTGTCGTTAGTGGCAACTCATGTCTCTAGTTACCCTGGGAAGTAACGCTAGGGCTTGAGTTTAGGATAGACAATCGTATATCATGTATAAGAGTCCAGGAAGTGAAAGATCCAAACTGATCTTCTGAGGGCAATGTTTAGAACATATGAAGATTTTTGAAGGGGAAAAAATTCCTTGAATATAAGTAGATGCAGTAAAGTTTATAATAAGTCCTCGAATATCCGGGCCACGCCGCCGCTTCAATGGCAGTGACGTCGATGATCAGACCCTTAACCATTATATCGTGGCTGTGTTAAAGACTGAAATACGTGAAGCATTCCAGCCCTGAAGAAGTCCACGACATGGAGGGAATTTCGACAAGTCTTCGACGAGGCGTCACGCATGACTACAACGCACTCGTGTGATTGATCCCACGACTTCAATTTTCGCAACGATTGACCGCATGCAGGGGCGAATCCAGCCGGTCATGAAGGGGGGATCGTAGATTTTTGTTAAATAATAAACATGGTTGTTATTATATTGAATATTATTTATGCACTGAGAATATGATACAATACAATATTATTGTTACTCTATGGTGTTTCTACGGAGCCGTTGCACGCGCAGCTTTGGTGTCCGTTTGGAGCCACTGTGCGTGCGAGGCCGAGGGCGGCGGCGAGGGCGGGACGCGGGGACTTCCCTCTTCGTGGGTGGGCGTTTCGCAAATTGAACGCACGCACTGGAAGTGACCCAACATGGAACACTGAACGATCCAGGGAAGCTTCTCGGCCGGACGCGTTCATCCTATTGCTGCCCGTCAACTTTCCTCCATGGCAACTGCAAAGCATTCACGGTACATTCAGCGAGGGTGACGTAAGACACCATCAATGCGGACTAAAGAACTACACAGTAATTTAGCAATGACATTCGCATGTCGTGTTATATTTGATTTCTTTCCTCCTTGCGAATTGCTTGTTATTCACTACTGATTTGATAAATGATTAAATATAGCGTGAGTGTCATTATTTAATTCCTTCTGAGAAATGATTTTTTGCATCGTCTCCCTTCTAAAATTAAATATGAGACAGTTAAATGTCAAACAATACGAGTGGCTTACAATTACATCAATGAATTTTAAAACATTTTTTTGTACTTTCTGTATTATTATTTCTCTTTCCCGTGAATAGAAAACGTATTTGTGCTACGACAGTGGCGATACCAAAATAACACGTTTGAGAATTTTAAAATAATTTTGTTCCCGTCTTTCTTCAACACGCCTCGGATCATGTATTTTTGTTACGAAAATTCATCATGAGGCTAACGACTACCAGGTCTATACCTAGTATTATGTGTTCGCTTAAAGTACTCATTCAGATCGATCGGGAATACCAATTTTCGAGAAAATCGTGTGAACGGATTAGGCCAATAGTGTTGACTACAGACAGACGTTTTGCGGCAATCGATTTAGCGGTGTCGACGACCGAACGTGGATTCTGACGTGTTAGAGAAAGTAATTTACTACATACGCCTTATAGGACAAAGATTTATTCAAATGTGATCAGTTGAGGTGGCTCCGGAAAATCAACATATCAGGACCGGAAGGGCCCAGGTACGAGTCCCAAAGGTGACAAGATTTTCCGACACCAGGTTGCTAGATCGAACTCAGCCGCTCTGATCTGTAGTTTCTCCGATCAACACATTGTCGGAGCAGTACTGTAAGTAACGGGTTATGAATCAGCGCACGATCTTGCCTTCCTCTTCCTTGGCCGCACGCATTACACTACCACATGTGATGGAAGCTTAGAGCTTGACCCGGCTGTGCAGTGCCCCATTGATGGGATACATTAATGGGGAAAAATGCAAGCCGACGTGTAAGTCGCCGCCGTATCTCACCATTTAAGCGGGGAAGAAGACACCCGTGATAAAAAACAAGCGCTATACTAACGGGACCAATGAACATACCCGTTGACGCCCCCTCAAACACGATATAACCCCAGATTCCCCGATCGATATGTTTTTCAGTCGAACACGCGCCGATTTTTATACTAAAGCTGTAAAGAAAACTAGTGGTGCTACAACAGCATATCATTTTCCGTCATATTTCTAACTTTTGCAACATACTCTTAGGTTCAATGTACTCGATAATTATTGCTACAGCACTTCTTTGGTTCTGTTCTCTACAACTTAAAAAAAAACAACACCGATCTGCGCCAATCTCTCTTCCTCCAAAGACCCACGTCTTCACTACACGCTTTCCTCTCTCGTACTTCCTTTTCCCAAATTTGCTTTCGTCTATTTCCACTGTAATTCCCTTTCCTTCTATTTTCTCACTTTCGTTAACAACTACATCGACACATATTTCTCCGTAATGCCCATCCAGCCCATTACAGTGGGACTCGCAATCCACTCATCACTCATTATGAGTTCAATTCTCGTTTCAATACCAACACTTTTTTTTAAGTCGCATCAACATCTAGGTCATTAGCAAACACTATTGCTTGTAACTGTGAGGATGACGCGATATGATGATAGGGGGTGAAAGGAAGAACACACAATACAACCATGCCCCAGGCAGGACTGGAACCCGCGATCCTTCTGTCGGAGATCGCTACTACGGCACTACTGCCTTAGCTATCTCGGCCACCAGATAGACAACACGTAAGTTGTTAACAACACTTTCCATATTTGAAGTTTGTTCTCGTTAAACGAAGTTTTTTTTTTCCTTACAGACATGTTCTTCAGCTGTACGGTACTTATTGCACAACCACTCGTAACCAACATTAATTCCTTTCTCTCGATTGATTGCTTTACCCAATAACACCTTATACACACGCATTGTTTGGAAAATAGCCTTCTCCTGGCACCACTTAATTACATTTAATTTTTTCCCGCAAATCTGAAGGAAAGGGGGAAAAAAAGAAAGAAAAAAAATTAAATTTTCCATCGCATGCTCGCACAAAGACACCAACAAAGAAGTCATACGAAAGAAGAAACAAAGAAACCGCGCAAAGTACCGATGACAACACTTAGGGCCGGTTTCATCAACAGCCGAGTAAAGTTGAGAGTAGTTACCCGAGAGTAACCATTTACTCCAAGATAGTAACTCTCGAGTAGAATATGGAGCGTTTCGACTATGCTTCTAGGAGTTATTTTACTCTAGAGTACATTATCTCCTATATTGTTCTCCGCAAATCAGCCTGAATACATTACAGTATTTGAGAGGCGATTCAAGAGGCTTGAGCGAGAATGACGCTTGGGAACCCATGCGACCACTGCATGTAATCCTCTTTGATTAATTCCTTATATTCTGATTTTTCATGTTCAGTTTCGGAGTTCTGTGCGGTTATAATCTGGTGTGCGTTTATGGTGGTGGTTTGAGTTAGCAGAAGTTTATTTCCTAGTTTCTGTATCTTTTATTTCTTAATAACTATTCAGTTCTTCTTCTTGTGGAGACAGTTAGCTATTTTGTGTAGAAGGCAGGAAAATCCAATGGAATTTGCAGTTATCGGTTGACGCGATGGCGGTGCAAATATTTTTCTAGTAATAGGGAAGCGGGAAAATGTTTGGGGTTGTTCTCTAATGTTCGTGAATCTCGTGTGTTTCAAATTTTATTATTATTTGTTTGTTTTATTTTTTTAACTTTTATTCACTTTAATATTGTAGTTTAAAATGTTGGAAAGGGATTCCTGGAACTCCCAAGGAAAACTTGGCAAATGATTCCCCCATAGCGACATAAAACCAGTTTTTTTACTGAATAAATAAATGGAATTTTCTTTAGTACTTGTAGTTTCCTGTAGTTATTATTGTTCCTTGTTGTTTGGTCGTTATTCCGATACCGTAACTACCTTTATTTCGTATCACATGGGAGAATAATAACTTTAGAATTCTTACAGTTTAGCAATGTATCTGATGGAAGTTCACAGCTGATTTGATCCATAACGGCTCATGACAAATATCTAGATCGTCATTTAATTAAAACCAATACCAATTCTCGCTCGGCACGGCCATTTGTCTTCGCATCTAGTGGAATATATTCCGCAAATCATGCTGGAATCGTCTCAAATACTCTGTATCATTCGATTTTCGTCGAGAACGCGTAAGCAACACATTTCGGAGGTACTATGCTCAGCGTTCGAAAAACATGACATATATCGACTCCGTACTTTACCCGCACGTAGATTTCAGGCGATTCAGGGTGTGGGAAGAGTTACTTTGCGTGTAAGCGAATTTACATCGGTAGTGTTGGTGAATGTCCAAGAAGTTACTCTCGAGTAAACATGATTTACTCCAGAGTAAACTCTTACTCTTTGTTTGGTGAAACCGGCCCTTAGTTATATTAAATTTACTCTCTTTTCGCAAATCTAAAAAAAAATCCTATTTAAATTTTCAAAGAAACCTCGCGGACCGCTCAAAGAGATTCATTCTGTCCGTTTGTTTTCCGGTTTCGCTTGGAAGAACGAATCGGATCACATACTCCATTTCAGCCACTGTATTTCAAATACATTTGGTGTATTTGTTTCTTTATCTGGCAACACTGAGTTTCATTTGTGAGATGTGAGTGACGAATTGCCTACAAATTAAAGTAAGAGAGAGCGAAAACCAATTCCCAATCGTCAATTAGTTAACAAATCAAAAATATCTTTCTAACAAATCATTTTGTAAATTATTTTATAAATGTACGTTTAGAGCAAGGTTGCCAGATGGTTAAAAGTATATCCCAGTACCAATCTTCAAAATTCCTGGTAGATTCAAATTCCTGGAACCAAAATCAATTGATTTAATTTATGAAATTGTTCATATTGTATTATGTTTTAACGCGCACAGAAAGTTCGTTAAACTTAACTTGATATCGATTTCATAGTGATAAATTTAATTGAAGAAATAGAACGTTCTTTCGTTTTCTATGACATGTACTAGAAAAAGACCAACCTATGTCGCCCTAATGTTTTTACGGCAGTGTGTTCACTAGTATCTTTGTTATTTGTAATACTGGTGTTAAGATTTAAATTATTGAATAAACATTTTAAACGAATCTTAAATTGACCATCATCTATTATCGTAGACGTAAAATCCTGGAATTTAAACGTACGAGGATGTCTTCATCCTGGTACACGGTATCTTCTTTAAAATCCTGGTTAAAATTCCAGGATTCTGGTACGTCTTGCAAATCTGGTTTAGAGGAATAAATTACGGTACAATTCTATAATTATGGTACTATCTGGCAATACTGATGAGGATGCATGAGCATGAAATGTCTCTCTTGCTTTGTCAAAACAAGATAGTAGTAGATTATTTCCACTAAGAATAAGCTATGCGTTGTTTTTTACTGAATGTTTGTACTACATAATTGCATTAGCATCATGTTTATATCAATAAATAATTTATCTCTGAACATTAAAGGTTCAACTAAAATCATTAACTGGATACTTAATGATACTGCTGGTTGATTATTCATGCTGAACAAAGCTTATAAATGCTGTAATGTCCAACCCATATAATTACTCTCTGGTCCAGCTTAATACTGTAAGTCATGTCGGAACCCCTTAGTATACAAGAAGGTAAAAATGAGATATTTAACCAATATAACTCAATACACTAGAAATCTAATCCAATCTTCTTCTAATTTCTTAAGTGTAACTAATTAATAACAGTAAATTAAATAAATAAATATTCTAGATATCTAATGTACTAATTATTTAACTTCGACTAATTGGTAACTATTAACAAGACTAAAAAAACTAAACTAAAATATATTATTAGAAATATAAAATTTAAATTTACTATTTACCAGGATGTTATCGTAGAAGATACCACTCAGAAACTTTCCTCATAGCAAACACTCACCTACAATCACCGCCCGACAATGAGAAGCTATTCTGCATTCTACTATTCCGATTATTAAATTGCAATCTAATAGCCAGTGTTGCCAGATAGCTGAAAAAAGAATATCGTACTGTGCCATCTACTGTTACCGTACAGTCATGGAACAAGTCATAGAACAATCGTACAGTGGCAATATCAAACTATCGTGCGTTAATTAAAATTCGTACAAGATTATCGTCCTCAATTTTTTTCAATTTTTCTTACATAGTACATTTAAATCATATTTGTAACAGACAAAACCTAATTGAGAAAATTTCAAAAACGTTTACGGGTTGATTGAGATAAAATGCCACACCAATATATTGAGAATACAAATTGTAGAAAAGAGTAAAAATCATATTATTTATTGAATATATTCCAAAAAATATAATTATCATACAAACTGGTCCCATTTTTCGTGCATTTATCGTACCATCAATCCATTTCAAAAAGTGACAGCTCGTCAAACGAAGGGAAATTCGAATTTGGAATTTCGAAAGTAAGGTACTAGTATTTTTTAACAAAAAACTGTACCTGACATTTTTAATAAACTAATTTTTTAGAACAAATTTTATTTAACAAAAAAATCTGTCATTAATAATGTACTTTTGCCACGTTAATTTTGTTATTTATTTTCGACATTACAGAGTTCACCGAAATGGGACCAGTACCAATTTCTTTACCGTTCTTTCCTACATAAAAAAAATAATAAAGAAAGAAAGAAAAAATTGGAGCTGTTTTTGAGACAATAATTGTTTTAAATTGTTTTAAAATTGAATTTTTTCAGGCAAAACTATGCAAAAACTGCTCATATTTTCAAAAATTTGAACATGACGTTATTTCAACATCTAATTTTGATGATCAGAGTTTTTAAGGAAAAAATTCTACTTTCAGTATTTTGAGATTAAGTTGTAAATTGATTAACACAATATATTGTAATTCTATGTAATTGTTGTTTAGTCCCTTTTTTTAAATTATGGACAACTACAATGAAAACTGCCAAAAACGTTTACATAATCATTTTATTCACTTGTGTATTATTCTTACGACGTTTCGGAGACTGTTATCTCGCTCATCAGATACAACTGAAAATTTAAGTATACAAATATTTCATGAAACCAAATTGATTTTCAAAAAAGTAAATAAATTTATATTTAAACCAATTCAATGTTCGCATGTTATAACTAAAAAAATTACAAGTAATATGCACAATAATATATAAAATATCTACAAATTATACACAAACATCTGAATTTTAAAATATGTTGTGGAGTGCAGTCCAGCCACATTGTAGTTGAACGTTTAAATTGAGTAGTTAGTTGCAGGAATAACGGAACTTAGGAGATAGTTGAAGTTGCAATTTCGAACGGCCAACGGCCTGTATTCCGGAAATCGATTTTTGTTCCGCGAGAGCCGTTCACCAGCGGAATTCCTTCCGATCTGGTAATTCTCTTGGAAAAGATAACCCTAGGAGACACCAGTAGAGGAAACTGGGGGAAAGTTGTACCGTTAAGCTTGTAGCAACAAAACAGTACATTTCAAAAAATAATATTCGTATATAAATCAAAAATTATTACTATATACTTTCTACTATAACATATATAAAGTCAGTGCTGCTTTCAGTAAAACTTGTTCTTTATTATTTTCTGTGAGTCTGCTTTTTTTCACGTTACACAACCTCTGTTTTTTAACGTTGTATATTTTTTTAATGAATCTTTTCGCAGAACCTTTCAGATCTCTCTTTTGGCGCAGAAAGAATTTCTTCAGGAGAAACGGGGATATATCCCGCTTCGACCAATGGCGTAATGTGTGTAGCCTTCAATGTAGCTTTCGAAGATTCTGTAGGCAGTTCACAAGTTTCGTTTCTGCAGGATCAAAAGATCATCAGAAAATATTTGAAGGCATATCGCGGTGTTTCTAAATCGAGAGATATCATTCTGTGATGTGGCTGCCCTTAAAAATGCTTCTCCACAG